GGAGGAGGAGGAAGAGGAGGAGGAGGAGAAGGAGGAGGAGGAGCATCGAGGATAATTGTTCTCCAGCGTTTTCTGCCTTTCTCGGACATCCAGAGGCCACCACGGGGACCTCTGAAGGCCTCTGGTGAACTCGAGGCTCTGGGGGTCTATGAAGACTTCTGGAGGAGGGTGGTCGGGCATAGTGTTGGGTGAATGAGCTCGAGATATGAGCAGTCGTTGCACAGAAAGTGCGCCAGAGTGGTTCAGAATGGCCAGAAATTAGTCCCAAACATAAGGCACTCTGGACCAACATCTCGCCCCCTTTGGGATCGCTTTTGGTCAAACTGCATGCAAACTGCCCGAGCTCCGTGAATCCGCTCATGCACGTGTCTGGCGCGTAGTCCATGAAATTGTGGATGGGGTCCGGGCTATGGCATGTGCGACCATCCGTGCACGAGTAGGAGGGGAACTCCTCCGCCGCAGTGTCGTCCACCTTGTCGCCGTGCGAGCAGCCACCCTCGAACGTGTGCAGCAGCCCGAGCGAGTGCCCGCCCTGGGGGGGGGAACTGCCGCCCGGCACACTGACGCCAGGACTGGCCGTGCCGATGCTGGGATGGGGCTCCAGGCTGGCGTCAGTGCGTGTGTGGGCAGTTCCCGGCCTCGTGTATGCAGGTGTCCCCCTCGTCGTAGGCCAGGTCCTGTAGGCCTCTCTTGCTGGAGAAACGCCGCATGGTCTCGAGGTTGATGTTGACGGACAGCTCATTGCTGGACTCTTGCACTCTCGTGGGGAATTCTGCCATGCCTAGAATGCCAGACTGGTCTTCTGTCGCGATGATATATGTGAGCATCCCCTCACCGTTCTGATTGTGCCGCGACGCAAGGGACGGTACGGTGAACATGTTCCTGGCACACTCCGCATCGTGGACATACGATACGTTGATCAAATCGAATTGCACTTGCATGTCTACGTGAGGGGGAACGACACCAAAGTCGGAATATTCAAGTGTCCACGGCTCCTTGCCAGCGTAAGCTGTGTTCATCCAAGAAACCTGATCCTCCACCATATCCATCTCCAGCGGGCAGCTGCCAATGTCAGCGCAACAGATGATGAAACGAGTTGGGATGAGGAGCCTCTTGTCTGCTGGTGCCTCAGGTAGCCCGGAGGGATCATCGCAGAAGGGAGACTCGATGCTCTTCTCCTTTCTCCGCAACCTCCTGATCTCAGCTGCCCCGATACGCGACACGTAACACGTAGCGTACTGACACGTAGCTCAACACGCAGACTGACAACGCAGGTCTGACGCGATACGTTCGCCAGCACGTGGGCCAATCATACGTGGAGTCAACACGCAACGTGCTGAGCACGGTACACCCTGCGAGATGCTTAAGAAATCATGGGTTAAGAAATTCATAGTCTCAGAACTTGAATAAAAACCCAACGTTTCCACTCAACTCTTAGGATTTACTTTGAAACATTAAGAATGATCGAGACGCTGACCGAAAATTTAAGTTTTCTTAAGCATCGCCGAAGGTGTACGTGTTGCGTGTCGAAACGGGCGTATCGAGAGCGCTGAGCTCCTGGTGCTGCTGTTCCGCACGACCGTGCTGATGTGCAACTGCCACTTCTGCGGCAGTCCTCGGCGACGGGCACAAGGAGGCGGGGCGCCGGGGGCGGCCTCCCCAGAAGGCCGAGGGCCGGTCCGACGGGATCCGAAGGGGTATAGTGAAGGGGCCCTGGGACACACAAATAAATACACACAAATAAAAAGATCCCCCATATTTTGCTACATTTTCTGTGTTTTTTTGTTCCCCACCACTTCCCATATTTTCCCATATTTTCTGGGGATCGACGATTAATTGTGTCTGTGTGTTTTTCCCCCTCCTGATATAGGTCCCTCCTCGGAAGCTTCCACGAGGCGTCGTCTTGTAACGCAGCAGGGCCCGAGCTGAACGGTGTCCTGCGTCTTCGTTCTGCTCTCGTCTGCCTTCGCCCTCTGTCTTCGGCCTGCCCTCGGGGCAACGCGGGCGGCCCGCGAGCTGGCCAGCACACACCGTCCAGCCCGAGCCCCGCGAGTGCAAGCGGGGATCCGAGAGAGCCGGGTCGCCCCCCCCACACACACCCAGCGCCCCGCCCACCGGCAAGAGATCCGCTGGGAAGCCGGTCCCTGGGGGCCGTTCCCCCAAGCAAGGCCCATCCCGGCCCGTCGCCTCCTTCTCCTTCTCCTCCTCCTTCTCCTCCTCGTCCTCGTCCTCGCCTTCGTCCTCGTCCTCTCCGCCTCCTCCTCCTCCTCCTCCTCCTCCTCCTCCTCCTCCTCCTCCTCCTTCCCCCTCCTCCTCCTCCTCCTCCTCCTCCTCCTCCTCCTCCTCCTCCTCCTCCTCATTCCTTCCTCCTCCTCCTCCGTCGTTCCCGCCGCCCCTGCGGTGGGCCCACGGGGCGGGGGATGGGGGGGGCCAAGAGGCCCGGGCCAGGGACGAGGGCATAGAGGAGTCTCGTCGTCGGGCCCCCCTTTTTGTTGGCCACCCCCTCTCCCTCCCTCTCCTCCCTCCCTCCATCCCTCCCTCTCTCCCTGCCTCCTCCCCTCCCTCCCTCCCTCTTCCCCTCCTCTCCTGCTTCCTCCTCCGCCCATCCTCCTCCTCCTCCTCCTCCTCCTCCTCGACTCCTCCTCTCTCCCTCTCCTCCTCTTCACCCCTGCTCCCCCCCCCCCCCCGAGCAAAGAGGCAACACAGACATGCGCTCTCGGCAGTCCGCGCGGGCCCCCCGGCATGCAGGGTCTGGGGCAGCTTTTCTCGCGCGGTTTCTGCGCGCCGCTCGGGGTCCGACGTGCCCCTCGGTCTCGAAGACCTGGATGCCCCTGGCAGACCCCTTCTGCGTCGCGCCCACGCAGCTGGCCTCGCTCGGCCCCAGCCGCATGTTCGGGCCCTCCTGGCCCGCCAGCTGCCAGTCTCTTCCTCCGGTGGGGGCGGAGGGGGGAGGATGAGGAGCGAGGGAGGGAAGGAGGGAAGAGCGAGGGGGAGAAGCGGGGGAGGGGGAGGAGGGGCCCCTCTCCTTCAAACGGGAGGAAGAAGAGGAGGGAGGGAGGGAGGGATGAGGGAGAGAGGGACGAGGTAGGGCGGACCAGTGCTTGTTTATCCTGCGTTTAATCATTCAGCATTGTGGCCTCCAGGGGCCACTTCCGGGCCCCAGGACCACCAGAGAACTGTCTGGGGTTGATCAATCGGCCCTGGGGAGAACTCGAGAACTACCAGGCCCAATGATTGAATACAAATCCACCAGAGGTCAGAAGGAGTGAAGTGAGGAGGTGGAGGGGAGAGGAAAAATCCAACCAGCCCTCTGGGCGTAGGTGGTCTAAGGATGGTCCTCTTCCAACCCCTTCTTCCCCTTCGGGGAAGGGGCCTAACACTGTTCCCTATTGATATACAGCCCCTCCCCCACCCTGCTGGCGGGCAACCCAGAACAAAGACAACCCCATGAGGACCACCCCCTCCACGATCCCCGTCAACAAAACAATACAAAACGCACTCTGCCTCCACATTTGGAGCATGCGCGGCCGCCCCGCGACCATTTTGCATTGGCATTTTACAGGGACGGCTGGGGTGCCAGCAGACCCCACCTGCCTTCTGGGCGCAGGTGGTCGACCCTCTGGTTTGACACATCAATGGCTGCTGCCTTTTCGCCCTACGTTTCCGATGGGATCTTTTCGAAACCTCCACATAGCTACAGAATTGGCCAAGACAGCTCAAAGCCGGGCCCAAGTTGCCCCTATTGGTTCCCAGTGGCTGGCGCACCTGGCGCGGCTGGAGCACGTGAAGCAATTTTTGCGCACGTGGAGCACGTGCCGCACCTGGCGCGCCTGGCACGCTTGAGCCTCCAGGGTCTGGTGCATCTGGAACCCGTGGCGTCTGCGGCGCTCTTACGCGATATGCTGACTCCCAGGTGTCATTGCACCGGCCTCGCAGACGTGCTGCAAAGCCTCGCAGACGTGCTGCAAAGAATTTCTGTATGGATTTTTGCCGGGGGGGGGGGGGGGGTGGGGGGGGGGAGAGGGGGGGGGGGGGGGGGGCGGGGGGGGGGGGGTGGGGAGGGGAAGGGGGGGGGGGGGGGGGGGGGGGGGGGGGGGAAAAAGGGGGGGGGGGGGGGGGGGGGGGGGGGAGGGAAGGGGGGGGGGGGGGGGGGGGGGGGGGGGAAAAAGGGGGAGGGGGGGGGGTTCCGAGCGGCGAGCGAAAAACAACGTGAATTTCGCGTGGAGTCTTTTTGGTCCATTCCTGGCCAACAAAAAAATCCGCACGAAATTCACCTCGAAATCCGGAACGAAATTGTTGACGCTTCGCGTATCCCCACCAGCCCATCCAGAAACGATGCTCAGGGGAGTTGAGGTGATCAGGGAAGTCGGGGAGCATGCAGAATAACAAAGGGCGGGGGAAGCTGTCACAGACCCCGAGAGGGGGAGGATGGAAGAGGAGTCGTCGTCGTCGTCGTCGTCGGAGGAGGAGGGGGAAGAGGAGGAGGAGGAGGAGGAGGAGGACGGAGCAGGAGGAAGAATCGGAGGAGGAGGAGGAGGAGGGGAAGGAGCTTCTTGGGGGTCTTTTGAGGGCCTCTTGGAGGGCTTTTTTGGCGCCTTGGGGCATCTTGGGCGCCTCTTGGGACCCTCTTGAGGCGCTCTGGGGAGCCTTCGGGGCGCTTTTGGGGCCATCTTGGAGGGAGTCGATCAAACAAGAGGGGGGGTTTAATTAGCGTCCCCCCTCGGAAGCACCTAAAATCGCCTCTTGGACCCCTCTTGGAACGCTCTTGGAGTGCTCTTGGGCGCTCTTGGGGCCGTCTTGGGGCTCTTTTGGGGCTCTCTTGGGGCCCTCTTGGGCCATCTTGGAGCCATCTCCAGGCCTCGGATAGCCATCGGAAGCGAAAAGGCAAGAAAGCAAAAATCATTGATTTTCCTTAGGTTTTTGGACGATTTTGGCCTCTTCGGGGCCTCCTTGGGGAGCTGTTTGGCCACTTGGAGTTATCTTGGGGCCGTCTTTGGGCTTTTTGGAACCATCTTAGGAGCCATCGTGAGCGATCTTGCGCTATCTTGAGCCATCTTGGAGCTCATCTTGGGTTCTCTGAGGCGCTCTTGGAGCCGTCTTGGGCCATCTTGGACGCTCAAACTACCCGCGGCCCCCCCCGTCCAGGTCCAGGGGAGGGGGTAGGGGGAGGGGTAAACCCCTCCCCAAGGGGGAAGAGGGAGGGGTGGAAGAGGATCTGCTCTAGACCACCTACGCCCAGAGGGCTGGTGGGATTTTCCAGGACACTCCGGGCCCACCCTATCGTTTTCCGAACGAAATCTGCTCTGCGATGCTGGCGCCATGACAGGTGTTACGTATGTGTTGGGAGGGCGGGCGGGGGTGAGCAACACGGCTTGCGGGCGGGCGGGTAGCTTGACCCCTCCCCCTGCCCCCTCCCCTGGAGCGGCCAAGATGGCCCAAGACGGCTCCAACAGCGCCTCAGAGAGCCCAAGATGACCTCCAACATGGCTCAAGATAGCCGAAGATGGCTCAAGATGGCTTTCAAGATGCTCCAAGATGCCCCGAGGACACTCCAAGGCGGCTCCAAGAGGCCTCCGAGACTTCCGAGGAGGCCCCCCAAGAAGACAAAATCCTTCGAGAACCTTAAGGAAAACAATGCGTGTTGCATCGTCGCCCGTTCGCTTTTGATAGCCTTCCGAGGCCTCAAAATGGCTCCGAGATGGGAGAGAACGCGTTTCACGGGCCCTTGCTTTGGGAACATTCGGCGGCGCGTTTCGAACCAGGGGGTGGGCCCCGCCCCCCAACACTCGGCGCCGTCGATCAAAACCAGGGAGACCCCCCTCCCCCCCATCCCCCCCCTCCCGAACCCCCCCCCCCCTTCCCGGCGCCGGCGCTGGCGGCCGCCAGCAGCGCCGACGGCGGGGATGCCTCCAAGACGCCCAAGATTGCCGTCAAGACGGCTAAGATGGCCCGAAGATGCACCCAAGACGGCCCAAGGTGGCCTCAAGATGGCCCAAGACGGCCGCATAGGCCCGCAAGGGGCCTCCAAGACGGGCCAGGAGTCCTCCGAGACGTCCTCCGGGAAGGCCCGAAACAGCAAAAACCATTGTTCCTTAGGTGTTTGAAGGATTTGGGCATTTCCTTCTTATCAGCTCCCCGACGGCCCAAGACGGCCCAAGAGGCCCCCAACATCGTCCCAAGAGCGCCCAAGAGGCCTCCAATATGGCCCCTATGACAGCCCAAGAGGCCCCCCAGAGGGCCCCAACAAGACCTCAAGACGGCCCAAGATGGCCCCCAAGACGCCCAAGATGGCCTCCAAGACGGCCAAGATGGCCTCCAAGATGCCTCCAAGATGGCCAAGAAGGCCTCCAAGACGGCGAAGATGGCCCCAAGATGCATCCAAGACGGCCCCAGATGGTCTGAAGATGCTTTAGACTGCCCCAAAAAGCCGCCAGAGGCCTCCAAGACGGCCCAAGACTCTAAGATCCCTCCAAGACGTCCTCCAGGAGGCCCAAAAGCTCGGAAACCACCTGGTCCGATAGCTCGTCCGACTCCTGTTCCCCGAAAGCTTTCGAAACCCACTCGGGGAACGCGTGGCCCGATAGCTTGGCCAAGCTCAAACCCAACTTTCGGCCAAGCAGGCGCTTCCAAAAAGGCAGGGGGCGGCGGTGATTCGCCGTAGGCGTCTTCGATCAGGGAAGATAGAAATAACGGGAACCACTCACCAACGAGCCAACCCGTCTGGGAACTAGCCCGACAACAAGCTCGACAGACGGACTCGAGACAAAAAAATCCATCGAAAGCGACTGCAAACATCTTCTTCCCACTCCTCCTCCTCCTCCTCCTCCTCCTCCTTTTCCTTCTCCTCCTTTTCCTTTTCCCCCTCCTCCTCCTCTTCCTCCTCCTTTTCCCCCTCCTCCTCCTCTTCCTCCTCCTCCCCTCCTCCCTCCTGCCTCCTCGAGGTAAAGATCATGAACTGTTTAATAAAACGAGTTCGCACGGAGTCCAGGAGCGTCCCGGATCGGCGGCACAGGCCGGAGGCCTCGACAATGTGAACAACAATATGGAAAACTGGGCCTGCTGCAAGCCAAACCAAGTCGCCACCTGATCGGTACAATCCATATTGTATTTCATCGACCCAGCGTGAACACTGGGCCGAACCGACAGGATTGACCTACTGCGGATCACGCCAACCGACGCTCGGGACCAGATCGGGTCGATTTAAATGCTCGATCGTACTGGTGAATTCTGGCCTTAATCTGTGGGCCCTACGTACTAGACCATACTGATCGGACTGCATCTTCTGAAGCTCTTCATGATCAACCAAGATCGTCAATCGTCGATTGTTGGCCGATCCGAAGATATCGACAGAAATCACAGATCTCCAAATACTCGACCGAGCTGGTCGGGTCCCAATTTGGACGAGACTGACCAGATTGTGCGCATCGAAACAGCTGGTATTTGCCCGAGCCGATGAACACTCAATAATCAGCACTGCGTCGAGCCGAACAAGCTTGATCTGCACAGCGCTTGTGTCAAGTTGTTTTGAAATTGAGCCACCTGTTTTGAACGGGCGGCGGGGTCCTCTCACGTGCCCCTCTGGGCACTCGGCTGCCGCCTGCCAGCTGGTCTTCAGGTCCGCCACGCCAGACCTGCTGCAGCAGAGACCCCTCGCCTTAAGCCGGGCCTGTCCCTCTGCAGGTGGAATACTCAAAATAGTTTTAAAAAATAATACGGAGACAATTTTCCCGACTATCTTTGGCAATTCGTGGAATAGTTCGTGATGATTTAAAACTTTCCGTCCAAGAGCCGCCTGTAGGGGGACGTGCCCGACCCAACCCTCGCCGCTGACTGCTCCCCCCCCCCGTGCCCTTCTCATCTCTCCCCTGCCACCTTCGCCCTTTCTTCTCTGCTTTCTGCTTTCTGTCCCCCTCTCTTCTCTGCTTCCCCCTCTCTCCCTCTCTTCTCTGCTTTCTGTCCCCCTCTCCACGGGCGGAGAAGATATGGAGCAAACGCCGCCAGTCGCGATTCTTTTCGGTTCCACGCCCAGCGAGGTCTCGATCTCGCCTCCCTCTCCCCCCCCCTCAGTGGCTCCTCCCCCTCCCCCCTCATTTTGTCCACGCCCAGCGAGATCTCGATCTCGCCTTCCTCTCCCCCCCCATCAGCGCCTCCTCCCCCTCCCCCCTCCCCTCGTCTGAAAGTTTCCGGAGGTCCCCGGAGGCCCCCAGAAGCCTCCGCAGACCTCTGGAGGCAAACGATGGAGCAGCATGCAACCCATGGAAACGTTCTGAGAACGCTGGTCCTCGATCCCCTTCGATCCTCACCGCAAGCCTCCTCGATCTTCCTCCTAGATACCCCACGTCGTAATCTTTGGAGACGCGGACCCCTGGGCTCTGGCCTGGCTCCTTCCCCCGAGCCGGCATGTTGTCCTTGGTCGCTCTTTGACGGTCCGGGAACTCGAGCGCGCCCCCCGGGGAGAT